ATGTATGTATGTATGTATGTATAAATAAATAAAATGGCTGTATCTGGGACAATATTAGGTGGGTGAAACTTTTTTCTTTTCATCTGGTAGCTCATACGATATAAAAGATGCAGCCACTGCCTGTCAAGTTAGAGAAACAGGGCTATAATCAGGAAACTCCCTGAAGAATAGTTATCAGTTCTTCAACAGCTGCCAAGGAGAACCTTTAGATAGCATAGTTAACATGTATGAAAAGAAAGTATTACTCACCATGCTGCCTCCTCTAAGTCTAAAAAATCAGTGCAGAAATACATGTAGTTCAAAAACCCGGAGCACATCTTATCTTCCCTCCTTATCTATATTTATTGTACACATATGTTTCTAAATGAGTACTTACGAAGTCAGCAGAAAGGTTAAGCTTGTAAAGTTGTAAAACAGACTGCAATAAAGATGATACTTGGCTGGAGACAAGGACATCTTTGCCTAGTTTTATGTTGTCTGTCACCTTTCTCTGGCTAGTAGCCACCTGAACTGTCCATTTATCAGTATCCGCTATAATGTAAACAGCTTCTGCTATAGGCTCATCTAGTACTGGATGCTGTAAAACACACATAACAAAACAAAATGAAGCAGGATATTTTCAGAAAAATACCCAGTATTAAGGATCATTTTGAATTTAAACTTAAGAATAAACCCTGCATTCTATCCAGCTTTATAGGAGAAACATTTGGCAGACTGCAGATATATTTAATTAGTCAGCTGTTGTCTGCCGTTTCTGGCAAGAATGTGCTCGCAGCCAACTGAAGTGATAAGTCTGAGAGTAATTTATTAAATGATAAATCTCTATTGACTAATAATAGATTAATATAATGAGAAATATTTTTTTCAGACTTAGATTATCTTTTCAGATATGTTTTGTGCTAGAATTTCTACTTGTTTCAGTGCAGAGATTAGATGCAGATACAAACAGGGGCTCTCCATTTAACTACACAGGACTGGAAATCTGTATGAATATGTGGTGATTTCTGGATCAGGACAAAGAGGGTAAATGTAGAACACACAGCTACAGATTAGAAAGGGGCATAGTTGAATGCATGCTTTGCAGGCAAAAAAGAATTTTCATTCTCTGGCTGTTCCAATTAGAAAAATGAGGGATGGGAAGCCACAAACCAGTTACAGGAGACAATACTATGCTAAATTAATATATACTTTGACCTGGAATAATTCACATTCTGATTCACTTAGATTAACTATCAATTAATCTCAGTCAAATTAATTTGGCCACTGTATATGCTGCAAGCTTTGAAAATCAGGCTTGCCTTATACAGGCAATCAGTGGTGCCTTTCTTCACTTGATCCACTTCAATGTAGTTCTAGGTGCAGAAAAAGAAATTCCTTCCACAAAGAAGGTTACTAGATATAAATTTGGAATCAAGGACTCACTTAGCCTTCTTGATACTTACGTTCCTATAGATTTTTGTATAGAGGAGCATTCTGCATCAGAACTCTCAATATGACTGAACTGGTATAGGCAAGGCAGACTTACTACATCTAGGAGAATCACTCTGCAGAATTGTATTTTTGAATCAGAAGGAGGTTGATCTTAATCCATTATTTGTTACCAGTTATAAGGCAGATACTCTGCAAGGTCACAAAGAAAGGTCTGCAGGCAAGTGACTAGTTTATTCCCAGCCTAAGAAATATACTTGCCTTCTCAGAGATGGAGATTTTATTTTGACTATAATTGGTAACAGTCACTTGCAGACCTATTCTATATGAACTGGTTTAATAATTTAATGAACATTTTATTTATTCATTGATTAAATTTATAGACTGCCACAAGATAACACAACTCTGGTGGCTTAAAAAATAAGACATACAAGCAACAATATACATAACCTAAAAAGAAAAGTCTGGAGAAACAACATCATCTAGTAGACCATACAAGAGATCTGTCACCCGCTGTAACCCAAGGCCTACGGGAAGAGCTGGGTTTTAAGGACTTGTTTAAGTAAGATCAGGGTGAGAGCCATAAACATCTCAGGAGGAATGGTGTTCCAGAAGTAGGTGCCATGACAGAACAGGCCCACTTCCTGTGTCCCAGCAGGTGACACTGTTTAATCAATGGAACATGGGGCATGCCAATGCTGTCAGAACATATGGCATGGGTAGAAACTACTGAAGACAGGCAGCCCCTCAAATAACCAAAGCTTATTCCATGAAGTACTTTACAGATGATAACCAGCACCTTGAATTGCACCCAGAGGCCTACTAGAAACCAGTACAGTTCAAAAACCAGGTGTTACATGAGTATATCATGGCATGCCCATAGCTGCTTATGCTTGCTGCATTCTGGACAGCTACAGCTTCTGTGTGATCTTCAAGCCCAATGTAGAGTGTATTATAAGAGTCCAAATGTAAAGTAACCAAAGTGTCAGTAACTGTCTTAAACTATTTACCATTCTTGTATCTACAAATACCAAAAATTGTCAAGTTACAACTGAATGCCTTCAAGCCCAATGTAGAGTGTATTATAAGAGTCCAAATGTAAAGTAACCAAAGTGTCAGTAACTGTCTTAAACTATTTACCATTCTTGTATCTACAAATACCAAAAATTGTCAAGTTACAACTGAATGCTACTAATGAAAGAAAATCAGTAAGTTTTTCCTTCATATTCTAAACATTATTATTAAAGCTTCCTGCCTATTCTGCTTAATCAGCAGCATTTTCAAATCTCTTCATTTCTGCCAGTCTCTGCCTACATTAATGTTTGTTAAGCTTTTTGCACAGAAATGTACAGACTTACATTTATGGCATGATTCAACTCAGCTGATAAATGTTGCTTAAGTTGTTCATCAGAACTTATTCCATGCAGCACTAGATCAGGCATATAAGAGGTACAATATCCCCCAAAAAGTGACCTTCCAAAATGTATCATGCTTCGACTGCTGACCGTGCAGGATCTGAAATACAAGAATTTGCTGTTACTGAACACATCTAGGGCTTTACAAAAAATATTAAAATGATCAGTGTGGGCAGTTATGTTGGCAAGACTGTACCATGATCTGAATGGATGACATTATTTGCTTTGTTTTTCAAGATTACAACTCAAGAACGATATAAATGTAACAGTTGCTCCTTAGCTTGCAAACTTCTGTAACATATTACTGAATCTTTCTCACTGAAAACTGAATAACACAATTTAATAGAAATCTAATGACTCAAACAATGGCACTCCAAAGTTAAGTCAGATCCAGCCTACATGGATCACCACAACTATGAACAATATTTATGTGTGTACACGAAAGCTGCCTGAAGTAATTCCACTGTATAATGAGATTTGATCATAGAAGTAGATTCAAAGATCATGTGAGAACATGGTTATTTGAAAATTACCTGAAAAGCTCATCCTCTGCTATCTTCTTTGCAGTGGGAGGCTAATGATTTATTTAAAACAATTAGACAAATTTCCCACATTACATAATTGCATCCCATTACGATTATATACTTTCAAATATATTTCAGTTTCTGAGTTAGTAACAATGGAATCTCTGTATCTATCTTCATAGCCTATTAAACAGGCCATAAATCCAAGAAAGTTATCCCCATTTTTATAGTGAAATTGTTTAACAGGATCACTTCAGAACTCTGTTGCAGAACATAAAAACTTGTTTTAAATATGGAAACATTATAAAAACATCTATCTGAAACAGACTTATGAAAGGTTATGCCACAACAATTTAGCTGAACACAGTCTCCCCCCATATACACATACATACAAACATGCACAATTACATACCTACAGAATAATTTACTTTGTTAGCATTTTTTTTTTTTGGTCAAACAAATTACATTCAGACAACAAAATCTTACATATGATATAATAATAAATTAAAACTAATTTTAAAAGTATTTATTTTAATAAATATTATTTTAATAATAAAAACAAGGGATCCTGAGTGTGTGTCTGTAAACTGCATATACTTCCTAGTTATTAGTATGTGGGCAATATTATGTTGGCTTGGAAAGTTGTTTCCAGATTAGAGATATTAGTTTGTGCAGAATATTATGAGGATGCTTGGGGTAAAACTGAGCTTTGGTTACACTATGGCCTACTAGTCAAAATGCACTAAACTGATTAGTACTGACCTTACCTTTAGAAGGAAGTGCGGCACGTGGCACAAATACAATGAAGGCTGGTAACCTAGTATACACTTTAACTTACTACGAAGTATTTCGTGAAAGCCTCAACTGACCAAAGCCTTGAAGTTGATGCCCATAAGCATCTGGTGATGATCATGACATATGGAAGACTGGATCATGAAATACAGGAGGAGATAATAGTAACATGTGGGAATTAACAAATGAAATGCAAAAAGGAAAAATAGGTATATATACTGGGACTTTGAAAATACAGGTAGTACCCAGGTTAAGAAGGCCCAGGGTACAGATGACCCATAGTTAAGAGTGGAGCCTACTGTAGCAAAATTTGTGTTAAATACACAATGATTCGAGTTAAATACATAATGATTACACAATACTACTTATATAGTATTATACAATAATACTGTTCTGGGTTACATGTAAATTCGACTTAAGGACAGACCTTGGGAATAGAACTTATTCTTAAACTGGGAACTACCTGTAAAATAAAGAAGGATGTAATGAAAATGAATTAAGGTAGAACCTTGAGGAGTAGAGTTGATAAATACATGTAGGGAAGTGATGGTGTAGATTTAATTATAAATGAAAAACTTAAATGTATATCAGAAAATATGAATTGGTATCTTGGCTGTTATAGGTAGATATGAAAGTAGGAATTCATAGATGACAATTGAATATGATACTTTTGGTAAAATTGCTCAACATTTTAAAATCCAAGAGAAAATACATTCTGTTACATAACATGAGTGGATTGGGGGAAATTTGATGAGAATATAGAAAAAGGGATCGACCATCCAGAGAGCCAATAATCAATGAGAATGATGACTGATGGAGATCTCCTTAGAAAAAATGATTTTGAATAAATGGTATATGTTTGTTCATATATACACATGGCAAAGGTATTAATATAAATCTAGAAGTATGACTGATTTGACTGCTTCTGATGAAAGACTGAGAAAATTAGTGAAGGGTACAAGACAGATGAGAGATCCAAATATGAGAGAGACCATTTTTTGGTAGTCTGAAAAGTAGATCTTGAAAAAAACGGACATGGGAAAAATTGTAAAGAAATAAGAATGAAAGTAGCATGACTGCAGGAGGAGGAAGTGTGAGTCCTATTTGAAGAAGTATTAGAAGGCCAATTAATTTCCCAACAGAATAAGTGGCTATAAGGGGAAAAGATGTGGAAGCTATTCAGAACAGAGTGAAAAGAATAATATTACAAAAGGCTAAAGAGCAGTATTGGGTTATGCTAGTGGGAAGTATGAAAAGCAAACCATGTCATGGTGGAACAAAGAAGTGAAAGAGACTGTGGATGAAAAAAATGCATATATGATAATGATTGCTATATGAAGGAGAAAGTAGCAAGAGTTCATGCAAAACCCACAGGGGGATTAGGTTGTTATGCATGCCTGAAAGCATTGGGCAAAATCCTGATTTAAAAAGTAGAAGAGAAAAAACTGGGAAGTGCAGTGCAGCTTAATGCTGGCTGGAGGGGCATGCAGACCAGACCAGGTTTTCGATCTTCAGCAGGTCATGGCCAAATGTATGAAAAGGAGAAATTTAATTATGTGTCTATTAGAGAAATATGATATGATAAATAGGCTTGAATTATTGAATATTTTATGTTAATATATAGTTGAAGGTTGACTACTGAATGTGATAAGCATGCTGTATGATGAAAGCAAAACATGAATAACAATAAATAAAATGCTTAGCAAATCATTTAATAATATGCAAAAATAAGGCAGGTACATATGATGTCCCTTTGTTTAATGTATTTATGGATTAATGTATAAGAAATTTTTAGGATGATGGTAAGAGGTATTTTGGTTGGGGTCATAATGTATGCTTATTTTTGTACACAGATTATACTACATTTTTGCCTGAAAACCTGAATGATTTGCAGAGAGTATTAGATACATTGTATGATGCAATTCAGAATATGGATGTATAAACTAATGTATCAAAGACCATGGTAGTTGGGCTTGACAGGGAAGATGGAATGAATGATCCCAAACAGCAAAAAACTAGTAGTTGAATTTATGTTATCTTGATATAATGTTAATGAAAATGGGAACGTGCATAGAATAATTTTAAGATGTGCAAATGCTGATAGCAAATGGCTAAAACACATTGGTTGTGATGAATTAACCTTGCTGAAATAAGTGTAAATGTCTGTGTATAGGAGCATGCTCTATTATGAGGCAGTGATGGTTGGGTATGTCAGGAGAAACAAAAGTCAGTTGAATGTAGGGGGAATAGGATGATGTACCTATGCAATATATGTGATAATATAAGGGATAGTCAAGAATAATTGGGAGCTGAATAAATGTGGATCAAACACAAAAGTGAATGGCCAATATGAAAGAAGTATGTTGATCCGGTTTGGTCATATAGACAGAATGAATGAAGATCAAAACAAAAATGTGAAAGAAAACTGAATGTATCAAGAGGAAAGAGAAAGAAGTGAATAGTTGAAGAAACAAAAGGCAGTGTATGAATTTGTGTATGGACGTAGTGGAAGAAGGATAGAAAGGTATAGTGAATTATATTGGTATAAAACAATTTTAGCAATTTCCTTTTCTTTTTCTTCATGCCTTTCAATTTCTTTGGCTTACTATTTCTTCCTTCTTTTTTGCATTCAATACAAAGTTTCTTCTCCAGAAAGGAAATAACAATGATGGGGTATGCATACATGTAAAAGTAATAACAATGCGTACAAATTCTCACTACGCTATTAGTATTAGTACATATAAAAAATTGTGGCTAGGTTAGT